TATCAACTTTTGCTACTAATCACTTTTTCCTTACATCTCCAAAAGTGCTTTTTTTTACTTAGCGTTTTGTTAATAGCGCCTCCCTAACATCACCATTAGATAAGAAAATTTGGTTTGTATTGTACAATTGTCAAATTGTGGTCTTATCTGATCCAATCAATTTAATTCTGATTTGATCTGGTATGAGACTGAAATCAATCATATTAACAACATCATTATTTGTATTTTGATTAAAAGATAATCTTTTAAACTTTTTTTCTCAACTTATTCCGCAATTAAATAAGATGATATTTAGATTTTTGTATAAATTCAATTAATAAAAAATTGATCAATGTAAAATATCAAATTCTACATTCCAAACTGATCAATGTAAAATTTGATTTTGTGAAATTAAATAAACTACTACTCCCCCCGTCCCTAAATAAACTTCCAACTTTCCTTTTCTGTCCGTCCCGATTAAAACTTTCATTTCCCCTTTTTGGAAAAGAATTTGTGGTTCACAACAATTCTTACACATTTCTCTCTCATCTGCACAACTCTCCACCACACAATAACCACTATCTTAAACTGTGTGCCGAGCCGTTTTGGAAGTTTTATTAGGGACAGAGGGAGTAATTCTTTTACTGTATTTGTAGAACTACAATAAATGTTACTTCGTATGTGTTAAGAATATACTCTATAGAAGTTTCCCGTGCATCACACGAGTACTATACTAGTTTACTTTAAAATAGGCTAGTTTACTTTAGCAAAGAAAAACATCTGGCAGTATAAGTCATGTATTTTTGAAAGATTAAGAGCCCGTTTGATAACTCTTTTTTTGGGTTATCAGGCTTATTGACCAACTTCTTAACCAAACACGTAACTTTTGATTTCACGCACTGAATTGTATATGAAAAGGTAATGTTGGGGTTACTTTTATGGCTGTATTGGCTGAAGTTACTGTAGATGACCATTTTAGCTATTTTTCATATATTTTTTTCTTTATTTTATTAATAAAATATATTTTAAATATCATTTTTTCAAAAATCAACAGAATCAACCAATACAACCGCTTCAGGCGAGACTTCATAAATTTCAGCAGAATTAGCCGATTCAGCCGATTTCAGTGTTACCAAACGGTCTCTAATATTGCCATGTTGAAATAGCATATTTTTTTTGAATTGGCACTTTCATATAATCGACTGCTAGAGCCTCACATTTTCAATCCGAATATTTTAGATCTTAAATCTCAATCACGGTTCTGCATACATATTTTTTATATGAACCGATTATCAGACCGTTATTAAAGAATTGGAACCGACCCATTAATAAATAACTAAATAACTAGTGTTTTACCCGGGCGTTGTCTCGGGCGAATGTTGTGAATGTTTGAATACTTTGTAAGATATATTTTATAGAATATATGAATAATTCGTCATTTTACTTCAAACAAATGTTCGCTAATTGTGGATAGTAATTTAATTAACGGTAACATATTAAAAAGTAACATTGTAATGTAACACTGCACACACCAAACATCACATTGTTAAGTTTTGGGAAACCTCCTTATAAACAATATTCACTGTCTTGGTGAAGAAATTTGCTTCTTTTGAAAGTATGAATTTTAAGATATCTTTACTCATTACTCTTGGTATTGCAATGCACAATTGGTCATTAATAAAACTCATCTCTCAAGGTATAAATCAAACTTTATGTGATAACATTTAGATTTGACTTTTATTGATTGTCATTGCCAAGTTTACCATCACAGGAAACTGCTTTCTTCGGAAATTGAAAATGAAATTCTCAATATGTAAACTTTATCACTCATAGCTTTTCAAGTTATGACTTCTCATATATACTTGCTTTTCGAATCTGGTTATGACTAATCACGTTCTATTGAATAAAACTTATGCATGATTTATATTCCTCAATAACATTATTAAGGCTCCGATATTTAAATGGATAACATGGTTGGATAATCCAGCCATTGAAGCGCTATTAAAAATTTTCGACAGTGTACATATCAACATGGAAGGTAGTATCAGTGAGCGAATGAATAATATTAATTGAACTAATATATGTAATTCATAGGTCATCGATCAACAATAGCATTTAGTTACTCATGATGTTTCTCGGTGTAAGGTTTAAAGTCCTAAAACAAACCTCGTGAATCTTCATAGCTTCATCCCATATAATCAAAGACGCGACATGCAACACTTCTGCCAACAGTTTTGCCTTCGCATTTCCTTGATGAATATTGAAGCTAATCCCATATTTTTATGGAGAATATAAAAGTATAGATAAATACCCCTGTCCCGAAAAGGTTCGCCAAATTGACTTTTCTTAGTCAATTGCAGTAAACTTTAACTAATGACATTTATTAATACAAAATTATTTAGAATATGAAAATTATATCATAATGTTCATTATTCAAAATATTTTATGGCAAGATATTGTTTATATTATCAGTTACTCGTATTTAATTTCTTGAAATTTCTTTATACATTTAATGATCTCATTAATTATGGATAAAGTAATCAAAATTCAAAATGTTGAATGTCAAATACGGACGATCTATTCAAAATGTCAAATTTAATGACAATCTATTCAATAGTAATATTAGAATTTAGTAATCATTGGACTCAATAGCAAATATTAAATCTCTTAATTGGACTCAACAGCAAATATTTTAGAATTCAATTTCAATTGCAAGGTTCTACTTTATTATTAAGTAAGTAGATGTTGGGACCGAATCGAACAGGGTCATAATGGTCCGGTTTGCCGGTTCTTGGTTCAAAGTCTCATCCCTACTTGTAATATTGACAATGGTGGATCCAACGTGGGGGCAGGGGGCATATGCCCCCACTCAACCCCACCCTATCCCTATAGATACACATATATTTATATTTATATCTAGATTTATATATTTTTTGTGCTGAATATAAAGGTCTTATACACCAATTGTAGTGTTAGTAAACAATGCAACATCCGGCCCGGCCCAGTGGTGCGTCTACTCCATGTGTGCAATTAGTGCTGGACTCGGGCCGGGCGGCCCGAACCGGAACCGGCCCGGTTACTGTGTGAACCGGCCCGGCCGGGTGGCCCGGTCCACCGGCGGTTCGGGTCGAATCGGCCCGGTGGATACCGGTTCCGGGCCCGGGCCCTCCATTTGGTGAACCGGCCCGGCCGGTTCGGGCCCGGTCCAGGCCGGAATAATTTTTTTTTATTTTTTTTTGAATTTTTTTTATTTTTGGGTTGGATTAGGTATTTTAGGCCATTTGAGGTGGTTTGGGGTGGTTTGGGGTTGAGGGGGAGGGGTAGGGGGTTAAATAAGAGAAGCCAAAAAATCAAAAAAAAAAATGGGGCGGGTGAACCGGCCCGGTCTGGCCCGGAACCAGCCCGGAACCGGTCACCGTCCGGTTCGGGCCCGGGCCCTCCTTTTGGTGAACCGAGGCCCGGCCGGGTCAAGGCCCGAACCGGGCCCGGCCCGAACCGAGTCCAGCCCTATGTGCAATAGCCATTCTTTGGTCAAGGGTTCGAAACCCTGATCTGCTTTTTATCCATTTTTTTTATCTTGGCCCTTTTGAAGCTTTAGAATGAATTTTAAGTGGTTATTATACATTATTGTTTCAGTTTTTTTTTCCTAATTTGTAAGATTTAACATACTTTAATGTAGTTACAATTTTAGTTTCACATATATTTTGTACATATTATTATAAGTTCAACCATGACATTTTTTCAATTAATAAAAACTATTTTCTACATATACTTATATATCGGCAACTTAAATTAATTCTAAATACATCCCTCCCTTATAATATGATTCATTATTTATTAACATAATTTCAAATAAAATGAAATTTTGGTGACTTGTTTGTTACTGATAGAGTGAAATTTATTTAGTATGATATCATTTTTTTACGAACAAACATTTTGTTATTTATAGATAATTTTACATTTTTTTAAATTTGTTTCACTGCTTGTGACATTTCTGGGATAATAAATTTCTAGTGCGAGTTCGCCCCCCTCACGGAAATTCCTGGATACACCACTGAATATTGATATCAAGAAAAGTCACGAAAGAAGACCTGTTGCAAACTCATTTTCTTTATTAGATTTTATGGTCCTTAATATGGATCCTTACAGATTTAAAGGTATTTATAATTCCATCAGAATTTATGAGTCCTCGATTTGGATTTGTACAGCGTCCTTAAAAACTCCAGTGTTTTCAAACATTTCATGAATTTCTATTATTATTATTATTATTATTATTATTATTATTATTATTATTATTATTATTATTATTATTATTATTATTATTATTTACTGAGATGAATTTTAATAGATTTTGATGGAATTCATCGTTCAAAACATTCTGGAAGAAATCTCATTTCGCAGAGTTGCAGATGAGTTCTAATTTGGGAACGACTACTCCTTCCCCGATTTTATAGAGACCGGCTACCAGGCGAAGCATTGGAATCACTATACTCTCGAAACCCTAGTCCACTCCATTACCAACACCGAGGTCAATCACACCAACTATATTCAGCATGCGCGGCTAAATTGAATTCATCCTGTCACTCTCCCAAAGCGTAAGTCCCTTGCCGATTGCCTCACCGGATAATATCTTCTTCGGATTCGACGATACCTTCTATAGCTGGAGCATGGACCCGAGAACTATGGCAATTTATACGCGGAGGGGTACCGATATGCCTGATATGATTTAATCCATTGAGAGGTCGTTGAAGGACATATAATCAATTTTGCGAATTCACGGGGGAGATAAATTTCAATTCATTGGGGATTCGTTGAAGGAATTTAATTTAAATCTAGATAATTCCATGATTTTGAAAACCATAAAATTTCACCTTAAATTCCATAGAATTCATGGAAATCAATTTCAATCCATAAAATCCAACACTTTAAATTCATTGAAATCATTATTGGAGACACTCCTAATATCCAACACTATTTTTGGATCACAAATGATATTGTTATCCTAATTTGTACCCTAGTTGCCTGTATAAAAGACAATTCGTTTGAAAAAGAACAAATTCTCCGTCAAAATGCCTATCTACACGAGCACTGTACACTTTGTGCCCAGAAGTCAGAAATTCTGAACCTCGGCCAAGAAGATGGAGTTTGCCAAGAGGAAAGCTGCGACTTTAGCTGCAATGAACTCGCCGGAGCCGGACAAATCTCCGAAAGGCAGCATAGACGCACCCATCGTTCCCCTACTCACAACCATAAACTCTCATCCTTCTTATTTCACCACCAGCTCTTGCTCCGGCCGCATCTCCATCTTCGCCCACCCCACCCCACCTTCTTCAACCAACCCTAAAAAGGCCAAAGGTGGGAAATGGGTCTTCATCTCACACGACCCAGTTGATCCTAACTCAGTTTTACCACTTCTGTTTGCAAGCGAGTCGACTCAGGTCGATCCACACCACAGCCTAGTATTCAGGTTCGAGCCTCTAATTATTGCCATTGAGTGTAAAGACGTGGAAGCGGCTCAGTGGTTGGTCTCATTGGCCATATCGTGTGGGTTTAGGGAGAGTGGGATCACTAGTGCCACTAAAAAGAGAGTGATAATAGCTATCAGGTGCTCCATTCGATTGGAAGCTCCTTTGGGGTATAGCCAGAAATTAATGGTTTCGACGGAATACTTGAAGTATATTGTTGAGCTTGCCAATGAGAAGATGAGTGCTAATAGAAAGAGAACTGATGGGTTTCTTGATGCTCTGTTAAAGAAAGGATCTTTTGGGCATCATATTAGCAATGGAGAGATTTTGGGCAAATATGAAGTGGATAGTGATGAATCTTCACCTTGTCTGGATGGGCCCGAGTCAGAATTCTTGGAAAGTTCTTCCACACATTTGAATGATACAAAATGTGGTAATTAAGAACTTTCTTTGTGAATTGACTCGCTAGTTGACCATATCTTCTACTTTTCTTTTGTTGTGCGTATGCTGGTTGGTATTATGGTCTTGTGATACTGCTATTGGTTATATTATTTTATAGATTTGACTTAATTGGAGGCTTTTTTCTATCAGATTATCTCTATTTGTTAGTCTTAGATTAGGAAATAACTACATACAATACTTGATTGAATAATGTATTTCTTCATTTTTAACCATCTAATGTAAGAATAAATCAATAACATACATACCACTCTCCCCTTCACCCCCCCCCTCCCCAACCAAACAAGGACTGAAGATTTGGCATAGCATGCAATGTCATTGCATGTTTACTTTACTGATTTAGACTTTAGAGAGCACAATCTCTCGGCATTAGATTGAATTGATTATTCTATTTCTGTGTGTATGGTGAGTTGTTTTGTAGCTTTACTTCTTTACTGCAAAGTGCAAACATCTTGTTAATTTCTGTGAATTTTATCCCCAAGGGTATGTTGGAACTGGGGGTGTATCATGGAAAGAACATTCTACCTCCGTCCCTTTTTATTTAACCATCTTTGATCCATTATTTTAACTGATATATTCATGTGAAACTTAATAAATTTATGCTTTTATGATAGTATTTTTAACAAAGAACATTTTCATATCATTTTCATATTATCAATATTACCATGTATAAATATATAATTGGTCAGAGTTTAACATCATTGACTTGAAAAATAGTTTTTGGCTAAATAAAAGGGGACAGAGGGAGTATAAGGTGAAAATAAAACATTAGTTGGAACTCACTAAATTTTGTATTGACATTTTCTCAAACTCATTGTATGATTTGTATCTATCTATTTACATTATATAAAGACTTTAAATTATACTTCGCTCCCTACCACTAAGGTTTTCCAACTTTCCCTATTTAGTTGTCCCAAAAAGATTTGCATTTCCATTCAAAGTAACAAAATTGCGGTTCATATTATTTCTCTTTCTACTCAAATTTCAATCACACAATTTTTACTTTACTATTCCACGTGCAAGTCAAGATTGGCCAAACCTTTATGGGAAGGGAGTAATAAAACATTAATCTTGTTTCATTTTATTTTACATATTTCAAGTTAAAACCAAACACAAGAAACTAATTCGTTTGTCACTGTTTTCCTATTGCTAGCATTTTCCAGGATCCAGAAATGCCTGAACTAAATAAGACAAAGAATTCAAACTCATTCACAACCCTCTACGTATAAATCTATTTATACATGTAAATGCGTAAGAATTTGGTAATAGTCTAACTACTATGTCTTGTTGCAGGATACATTCCCTTAAAATATGACAGCCAATCTGAATCTTTAAATCATTGACAGGATCGTTGGTTTCTGGTTTGAACCTATCGAGCACTCAAATGCTAATCACTGGCGAGTCAATTGAAAGGATTTTCCTGTGGGGTCACTCTGCTTCTGCAATTGATGATGCATTTGACAAGAAGGTTCTCATTTTTGGTGGGTTTGGAGGTCCAGGCAGACATGCACGAAGAAACGATTTGCTGATTCTTGACCTAGAATTCAGTAGATTAGAAGTTGTTGATGTTCAGGGAATGCCATTATCACGTGTGGGTCATACGTCTTTAATAGTAGGAAAGCATATGTATGTGATTGGTGGAAGAGCTGACCCACTAAATATTCTGAATGATGTGTGGGCTTTTAGTTTGAACAAGAAAGAATGGAAGCTCTTGCAGTGTTCTGGCTGTTTATTTCCACCAAGGTAATTTGCTATGCATCTTTACTTTAGCTCTGCTAAGTGCATTAGATGTCTTCGTTTTTTGTACCTGTGATACAGAATTATTCTTTTTTATTTCTAGCTTCTTTATTAGTGTTGTTGTTATAATTATTATTCATCCCTGCTTGTTTTTAAGAAAAATTCCAGAAAATGGTTTTATTTTTATTTCAGTGTTTGGTACATTACTGCTACTAAAAGTACTATGTGTTTGGAGGATTGTAAATTGTTAACTTGTTATGGTTAGCATATTATGGACAACTGATGACGACACTCAAATTGTAGGCCAAAATAATCAGATATGATTTTCATTTTCCTTGAAATAATCATCATCTTCCTAAGGAAGAGACTTTCTACCCCTGCTGTTGTGGTGTAACCTCCTAATTTATTTTCTGTAAAATTCAACACTTTATCATGCAGACATCGACATGCAGCAGCAGCGGTGGGTTCAAAAATATATATATTCGGAGGAATTCAGGCTGATGTTATATTGTCATCATTACATGTACTTGACACAGAAGCCATGACATGGACTGAACATCAAGCCGAAGGAGAGCATCCATGTTCCCGTCACTCCCACTCCATGGTTCCATACGGAACCCAACTATATATATTTGGGGGATATGATGGGGAGAAACCCCTAGGTGACCTTTTTAGTTTTGATACAGAAACGCTTCTCTGGAAGAAGGAAACTATCCGTGGTAAACTGCCAAGTCCCAGGTTTTCCCACTCTATGTTTGTTTATAAGAATTTTATTGGCATTATCGGAGGATGTCCCGTTACTCAAAGTCAATATGAACTGTCCTTGCTTGATATGCGTTCACACCAATGGAAGCATATTGTGGTCAATTCCTTAGAAAATGATCTCTTAGTTAGAAGCACTGCTAACATTATAGGTGATGACTTAATCATGATTGGTGGTGGGGCTGCATGTTACGCATTTGGTACCAAGTTCAGTGATCCGGTGAAAATAAACCTTTTCCCACTGTTGTCACTGAAAAGTGGAGAGCTTGGAGAATCTGGTGAAGAAAGTGGAAAATGTATTGATGGTTCCTTTTGGGCTATAAGGATTGAAAGAAAATATGCAAAGTTGGTGAAAGACGTTTTGAAAAAAATTGGATGGTTAGATCTTCGAAGAAAGGTTTACTCGCTTGATGATGGAATACATATATGTTTGCCTGTGACAGAATTTTTTTCCTCAATATTTCCTGATAAGAGAACAGACTCTTCTGCTTATTTCGATTCTTCAAAACCGATCTTTGAAAGTGAAAATCCTTTAAAAGATATTTCCAGTTCAACGGAATTCAAAGCATTGAAAGTTCTTACAGAATGTCATGCAACGAAAATTGAAGATAAAGTTGTAAAAGTGAAAAAGGCATCAAACACTTCTTTAGAAGTAATGAAGGAATCTGTAGTCTCTTTAATCAGTCAAAGGGGATTGCCGTTACAACTCTTAGATCAGCTACCATCAAGGTTTCATAAGTTTCGTTTTTTTATTTCTTTTAAGAAAATTTACATGTTTTTGTTGATATATATGATTTAAGTCATTAAACAATCCTTTTTCCCTTAGATGGGAGCGTTTGGGTGATATTGTAGTGCTTCCTAGGACGTGCTTCAAGGATCCTCAGTGGGACTCTATTGGGACGGAGCTTTGGAGTGCGGTTGCGAAGTCACTTGGAGCTCGCCGGCTTGCTCGACAAGTAAGATTTAGTTATTATCATTGATTAACATATTGACCGTTAAGTTGCATCACAAAATTATGCACAAGTAAATGATTGAATTAGTTTACAATGCTTATTAGATGTTTCAAACATCTATAAGTGGAATTATATATTTATATCATGTATTGTGTAATATCTATAATAGTCTACAAAATAGGTGTCACATTGGAGAAGTAATGTAGTTTCAGAATATCTTTCAGCTTTTGTTCTTCTAGTCAATTGAACATTTTCTCCCATCTTTGACATTTTCTTAACTTATGTAGGGGACTTATTGACTTACAGTAGTCAAGTAATAAAAAATTTCCATTTGTTCGTTTCCATCTCAAATACAGATCGGTGACTAATACCCTTTATTAGAAAGATTAAAGATCTCTAGCATCATAATGGATCAATCTTGCTTTAATATTCAAACTGTACAGAAAGATTCCATTGAAAAAGAGGTATTACTTTCAATACTGTTAGGAAAACTGCAGAAAAGTGACCATAAAATGTATCATTAATTGAATTGTAAAACAAATTAATCATACACCTTTTTGTACTTTTTGTATATAAAGAAACTACTAATGCAGTGTGCCAAAATTTGCAGGGCAGAATATCTCCAAGTGGCACAAGAGATAGTAATTTGGAGATGCTAATTGGAGATAATGGGTGGGTACATCACCGTGAAAATGGAATTTTATATTCATTTGATGCTACAAAGTGCATGTTCTCCTGGGGCAATCTCTGTGAGAAGCTAAGAATGGCCCACCTTGACTGTACAGATGAAGTTATAGTGGATTTATTTGCTGGGATTGGATATTTTGTGCTTCCCTTCCTTGTGAGGTAATAATATTTTTACCCATTTCAAATTTCTGTAGCAATATAAAATCTGATGTCTTTAATTGTTGTTTGGAACTTATAAATACTAGGGAAATTGGAAGAGTATAAATTTGGAAGGATATAAATTTTTGAAGAGCAGCTCGAACTCAATTAATTAATTTATGTTAAATGTATGTTGGGACCATAGTTGTCATGGCGCATGGCGACATCCAACTTGGAACTCAATTAATTTACTTTAAATGCATGTTGGAACTCAATTTATTTATATGTATTATATACAGAGCAAAAAAATCAAATAATGAGATAACTTTCCTTAGCACATCCTTTTATAGCATTTTCCATGATCCAAATCATACCCGTAGGATCCGGATTTTGGGAGAACCGAACCGGATTAGTGAACCCCGGTTCCAAACCGAAGGTACTACGCGGTTTATGTTCCAGTTCAAAAACAGGCTGTTCCGTTTGAACCTTAAACCTCGGGCAGGTCTCTACCCATAGGAGGTGTTTCACACTAACATTTGATTTTTAGATAAAATGGGTTTCAGAATTATTGGTTACCATTTACTTAAAAGTGTGTTTTTGTATAAGCTGAAGTAGTTAAGAAAAATATAACTTTCTGGTTGAGCCCTCCCCCGACATAATATATTTTGTGTTCACCGCAGGGCTAATGCCAAGCTGGTATACGCTTGTGAGTGGAACCCCATGGCTATTGAGGCACTCCGCAACAACCTTGAGGAAAATCTCGTGGCTGATCGTTGTGTAGTGCTTGAAGGAGACAATCGAATTGTAGCACCAAAAGTGGGCAGTTTACCTTCGATGTTTTTGTTTTTGTTTTTAATTACGTGTTCAGCATAGTAACAATATTATTTTCTTGTGCTTGTCTTTTGGGGGTGGATATGCAGGGTGTTGCACATCGTGTTTGCCTTGGGCTCTTGCCGTCAAGTGAGGGGAGTTGGGTCACTGCTGTGAGAACATTAAGGTATTTTTATCATCTTAATGTTCTGTTAAATCTAAACTCTTTTGGGATTAAGGCTTGGATGTTTTTGTTGCTGTAATGGTCTGTTAAATCTAACAAAAATCTCCCGTGTATCTAGAATTCTAAGTGTAATGGCCCCTTCAATTTATAATTGTTACACTTCTCTTCCTTCTCCAGATATTCTTTAGTAGATAGTATTTTAAGATATAACATAGTTAGACAGCCAAAACAGAGAGTCCATTTGGTATGATTAAAATGTATGAAGTTATTGGTTCTGCTTTTCTGCCAAAGTTGCTGATGGGTTGGCTGGATTTGTTGAATTATCTGACAGGAATTATTTAAAATATAAATTTGTTTAAATATATTAAAGGGAATAATTTTTAAAATAAAAGTAAAAGTATCTAGTTTTAGCCAAAAATTAACTCATGCTCCCACCCACAGTCAGCCAGTGCAGTGACATAAGGCAGTGTTTGATCAAAACACTGGTTGATAAGGTTTGTAAGAGAGAATGGAGCCAAACAAACATGCTCATAGTTTTGGATTTACTTGTTATTCATACTGTAACTCATCTTTTCGAAGTGCAGGGAAGAGGGTGGGGTGATGCACATTCACGGGAATGTGAAGGACTCGGAAGAAGTCTCATGGACCCAACATGTTTTACAGTCTATTGAAGATATCGCCAGATCCGAAGGTGGGTAATTACTCCATTCTTGTGACTTCTGAGCCTCAATATAATTTTTAGTGTAGTTTTTATATACATAATTTTAAATTATCGATATTGATTTGAATGTTAGTGAGACCCCAAACTCTTTTGAGATTAAGGCTTGGATATTGTTGTTAGTTTAAATATTATGTAGTAGTATAAAACATTTAACTTTATGAGGTTATTTCTTAAATATTAATGATATAATATTTTTTTTGCTCTCTTTTTCTCATAGTATCTGTTTTGTTAAATGCCAACATCCTTGATTGGGATGGGTTTCGAACCTATGACCTCCTCCTTGGGAGTATCACATTGATGCCATCAAATCACAAGGTGCTTGGCATTACTGATATAAATGTTAGGGATAAAAATGTGACTAAAGTTATTATGAGCATACCCCCATGTAGGGGTGTAGGTAGGGGCCTTGCGGGGCTATGGCCCACCCCAAACTTGAAAAATTGTTTTAATTTTTGTGTAAAAATTTATCTTATGAAATTATTTGTTGCGGCCCAACTGAACACATAAAATTTATGTGTAAAAATTTATTTGCCTTGCCTATGCTCCTCCCTACGCTCCTGCCATCACAGTCACTACAGTATAAATTTAAACATAATCTTGGTCACTAAAGTTACGAGCATACTTCATTTTTGTCATATTTTCATCATTATTTCTAACATTATTATCACTGGAGCTTAGAATTTGCAGTTCAGGACAAAGGTAGTACAAGAACACTATTTGCCCCCTTTATTTATTTGAGATGTAAATAAGCATTATAAAGAATGCCATCTAAGTTATTCTTCTCTACAAAACTAAGGGTATTGGATTATGTTCTTAGGTCGTGTTTGGGACATTTCAGTAGAACACACGGAGAGAGTGAAGTGGTATGCCCCTCGCATTCGCCATCTTGTTGCAGATGTAAGATGCAGGAGGCGTGGTGAATAGGGATGAGTGATACATGTAAGATACTAAGATATCCATGCTTCTGCAAGAAAGCTATTTCTGGAGGTCAGGTGGATTGCATGTGAAGAATATGCCGAAGTGAGTGCTGTTTTTAAGTTTTAGAAAGCGAAAAATAAAAACGGTTTCTTTAATTTTTAATTTTGAACTTGAGATTTCTTTGAGTTAAATGATTTTTAAAGCATGATGCCTTTAACTACCAAGGTTCCTACAATATAGGTGGACCTGGACCACCTGGTCGAGCTCCGGTTTCGGTCTAGCCGGTTCAGGGTCCAAAGAATGAGTGACCTGTAACCAGGACCAGATAGTCTGGATATGGATCCGTTTCTGGTCCCAAACTGGTTTATATCGTATTTAAATAAAACCTGAACTAGTTTGCCCCGGGCTATTATGGATTCACTGTAATCAGTTCTAACCCACTTCAGCCCAGAATAATAAAAAGGGAAATTTACTATTCACCCCCTAAGCTTATGTCATAATTATTAACGCAACCTTGCATTTTCAAAAATCAACTAGTTACCCCCTGAGTTTGGACCATTCTCGTTTTTTGCCCCTTCGCGTTAATATTTGTTAAATTTAAATTTAATATAATTCTTAAATTCAATGAAAAATGTCTATAATATTAATTGTTAATGTAAAACAAATTATTATAATAACTATAAGTCATTGTTGTTGACCATTGTTTTTCTACTTAGCTACTCCATCGTGGAATTAATATTATTGAGAGGAATTAAGAGAAAATAATCACAAAGCAAGTAAGATATAAAAATATCATGAATTTTTAATATTTTTATTTTAAAAAATTAAATATCATCCAATATTATAAAACGAATAAACTTTTTACACTCAAAAAATATTTTGTAAAGATAATTTTTTTTAAATTAGTAACAGAGTTATTAACAATTTTTTAAAATAAATTAAAATATGTGATATTTTAGGTTTAAGATCACACATTATATAAAAAATTCTTTTTATGTATCCCATGAATATGACTTATGAGTCTTCCCCTTGACTACTCTCTTAATAGTTACTCCATGATCGAGTAGTTAAGTAGAAAAACAAATGATCATCAACAATGACTTATAACTGTGATAATAAATTATATTATATTTTAAAAATTAATTTTCTATACAACTTTCATTGAATTTAAGAGGTATATTAAACTTAATTTAACAAATATTAACGTGAGGGGGTATATAGTGAGAATGTTCAAAATTTAGGGGGTAACTAATTGATTTTTGAAAATGCAATGTTGCATTAATAATTATGATATTAAAATTCAGGGGCTAATAATATTTTTCCATAATAAAAATGGGCAACCAGTCCTGTAGTTTAGCTGCCAGATCTTAATTTCATCCGGTTCCAAGACGGGCACTCGGCCCACCACTGTCCTATTTCAGCCCGGAATAATAAAAATGGACAGCCAGTCCAGTATTTTATCTGCAAGGTCCTGGTTTGATCCGGTTCCGAAACTGGCACTGGGCCCACTGCTGTCATACAGTATTGATGACCCAAATCATAAGCATCGGTGGCTAGAGTGCAACGCAAGAGAAGAGTTACTACATGGCCGGATCTGATTGTTGTGGCTTTGGTTGTGGTTGCATTTGACCATTTGTTACTGCAATGTACTCTAAGGTGGCTGCCACTCAAGAGGAGCCACGGTGGTTGTTGCCGTCATTGTCCCCTGGCCTCATTTAACTTCCCCTTCTTACCTTCTTTATTTTACTGCATGCCATGTTGTTGGACTTGGGGATGCCAAACTCCAGATGTTACTCCAAAATCCAAATTCAACCGTGGGTAGATTGTCAATGTGGGGCAGCAACGTGCTCTAGTCGCTGTAACGTACAGTGAAAATAAACTTGCTTAACTAATACTATGTACTATATTACGGAGTACTATGGTATTTTGCTAGAATGATTTTTTACTCCCCAGTTCCTAGGAGTTTTTTTTTCCGAATTAATGTGAATTAATTAAGTAAATACTGAAATAATGTTAGGTTAAAACTATTTTCCAATATATTGCTGGGCTTATCCCGGGTAGGCATGGACCCGGTTCGGGCCGCCCGGCCCGGGACCGGCCCGGCCCGCCACTGTGCGAGCCCGGAACCGGCCCGGTTCTCGGGTCCGGGTCCGGGTCGGGCCTAGGCCCGGTGGGGTGGCCGGGTCCGGGCTCGGGCCTTGAATTTGGCGAACCGGCCCGGCCGGGTCGGGCCCGGGCCCGGGCCGAATTGATTTTTTTTTTAATTTTTTTTCTTTTTTTGGGGTTAGCCAAGTTGAGCTTGATGGTTAGGAGGGGTTTGGGGGTTTGGGGGGGGTGTGGGGGTGAGTGGGGGGGTTAGGAAAGCAAAAAAAAAAAAAAATTATAACCGAACCGGAGGCCCGGCCCGGCCCGGCCCGGACCCGGACCGGACCCGGTGGCTACCCGGGCCGGTCCCGGGCCTTCCTTCCCAAAAAAAAAGCCCGGCCGGGCCCGGCCCGGAACCGGAACCGGCCCGGCCCGGGTCCATGACTAATCCCGGGTTGGGGAAAGTCGTCATTCGGTTTGGCGACTTATAAGTTGCCAAACCCCCTTGCACGGCTGCACCTGCAAAACCAATACATCCTCAAACAACCAGTTTCCTACCATTACAAAATATACAAAACCTGCTCACAAAACATACAAAACACTAGTAACATACCCGATACAAATAACATACAGAACAGAATATTCATAACCAGTAAAACACAATACAAGCATCCAATATTCATAACCAAACACATCATAAACAAAGGAATAAGTACTAATAACACAATATCCAATTGTTTGCAATTGGAAATACGTAAAAAAAGCAAAGTATTTGTACAACATTCGGTGTACATGAATAAGTCCAATAATAAAGACAAACTACAAGTTTTCATGGTTTTCTTTATCGTCTTGGTCATGGAGATGTGGTTGTTGACGCATATGCCTACGTCGTCGTGGTTGAAGAACAACTTTGTCACGCTGAGTCTGGGATGTACAAGCTCCTGTTGCGCTAGATGTCAATGCCATAGAATCCTGATAGCGGGTCATATGTATAAGATGGCCATAGTCGACTCGCTCCAACACATCGGAACACAGGGAAGCAATGTTCGTCATAACCTGGCCGTACGTGTCCACGTCATGCGTATCACTCACTGTGGCAGTCGCTCGCTCATGTATACGCTGCAAAACTCGTGTCTGAAATTTTAAACATAATTATAATTAGTTAGAAATAATTAAAAGTGTTAAATAAAGAACATGAATTACTTTAGTAATTAGTAGTACACTCACCATCAAGTGCAAAGTCATGGAGCTAGGCTGATAAAGGTGAGTAGGAAGTCTGAAAGAAGGAGACACAAACAACCGCGTGATGTTGTAATACCATCCCATGTAGTCTCCCGAAACAGATGAGAGTAATGTCGGTGTCTCAGTCACAACAAGCTCCGCTCGCCTCTCCCATAGTCCCATATAGTCACGTATCCGACATGTCTGAGCGATCAATCCTCTGTATGCTTCCCACACCTATCCACCCTATGAAGATCTACACATGTGTCGACAGGTGCTGAAATAACCTACTCATAGCCAAACTGCCTATGTACACGATCAGGCAAATGAAGCTCAACAATGTCAAAACATATCAACACACACGTGCTCGCCATATATGATAATGCTCTCGTCCTGCTGGGGGCAAGTCCTCTAACATCTGAGCTGTATATGGCATCCATGTATTCAGTTTCATAAGGATAAAAAATTAGTATTACTGCGATTCATATGATAGTTAATGTTATATTATGCACACCAAACTTGATCATCAAACTTGATCATCGATGACGAAGTTTCTCCTCGATCCTGCGAAGGACTGGAAATGGAGAACCGCTGCCATGGGCGAAGTAGAAGTGCTGCATGGAGATTGGAGAAGAAGCTTTTTGGAAGAGTCACATAATGGAGAAGAAGCTTTTTGGAGATTGGAGAAGAAGTGCTCGGTGCTGCGAAGGACTAACGTAATGTCACATTTTAGAAAAAAATAAAAAAGGGTAATACTTTTGGAAATGCAAACACCAACAGTAATATTGGGGCCATTTTGTCTAATTTCATCTCAACTTTGTGTTGTATTAGTTGAAATGCACGCTATCTACCTCCTAATAACATATACTACCTCTGTTTCGTTCAAAGATTCTTATGGCAAAATGACACGATTATTTAGACAATAACTAAATATATTAGTTCAAATATATTTTGAGAAATAATTTTGATGAATATATAATATAATGTGTTATTGATCATAACTGTAATGTTACAAATATATTATTTTTAATATTTGATGATTAAATTGTTATTCAAGAGTGTTAATTGTTTCCTAAAATAGAAAACGAGAACCTTTAATTGGGACGTCCAGAAAAGGAAAATGAGAACCTTCAAATGAGACGGAGGGAGTACTATTTTTTTCAAAAAAATAAAATAACATATACTAATATGCATATGAAAAGAAAAGGAAAACTAAAAAGAAAATTTATAAATCCTCATTTTGAACACATATGGAGTACTCCGTTTTTTCAAAGGATAGGGATATACCATCTCATCATATCATAAGGAGGAGCCAAGGGGTGGCCCGGGACCCGGACCGGACCGCCACTGTGCAGGACCGGACCGGCCCGGTTGACCAGAACCGGGATCGGGCCTAGGACCCGACCCGAGGGTGTTTTGTGGATGGGCTCAGGCTGCCGCTCCCTTGGAACCGGCCCGACCCGGCCGGTCCAAACCCTTTTTTTTTGGATTTTTTCGACTGGTTTGGGTAAGAGGCGGGCTGGGTGGTTTGGGGGTGTTTGGGGGGTAGAATTAATAAGCAAAAAAAATATATTACTCGACCCGGGCCCCGCCCAGGGCCGGAACATAGCCGGGTCAGTACCGGGCCTTCATTTCCCAGACCCGGTACCGGTCCATCCCTAAGAGGAGGAGAAACATTCAATCAAAATATTCAAATCAGATAAAAAAGATTCAACAAAGTTTAGAAATATTCAAATTGGATCAGAAAGATTCAGATCAAGTAAAAAATATTCAGATGAGATAAAAAAGATTCAGATCAATTTACAAAGATCTAGATCAGAAAAATTCTGATCAGATCAGAAATATTCAAATCAGATAAAAAGATTCAATCCAGATTAGAAAGATCCAGATAGAAAAGATTGAGATCAAATCATAAAGATTCATATTAGATCAGAAAGATTCAAATCAGATAAGATCAGAAAAATTCAAATCACATTAAATAGAACTTAAAAGATTTGGATTGAAAACATTCAAAACAGTTTCCAAACCCCAAAGTTACTATGCACAAGGATGTTTTTACTTAGACTTTAATTTGACGGTTTGATTTGATCTGGTCTATTTAAGTCTGGTCTGGTTTGTTTTTTTGAGTCTGGTCTGGTCTAGTCTAATCTCTATGTATTTTATAATTACGAAAGTTAAGTCTGGTCTGACTTGTAAAATTTTGATATGGTTTGGTCCGTTTATGTCTAGTTTGATTTGGTTTTATATGGTATGGTTTTGTCTCGTTTGAACCGGGATTCAAAATAGTTGAGCCCGAATAGGTTTTGGGCGGGTTATTTGACTTGTACAGTACTTCAGAATCATCCGTATGACGGAGTATTATTATTGAAAAACATTATCAACCCCGGGAATCGTTCCCCCCTTTCTGTTCTTTCTGACAGGTATTGTTTGCCACCGAACGTAATTCACCATGTCCACGGCCATTCGACTGCGTCGACTTGGCGCGATCGCTGCTCTCTCTGGTGGAGCTTATACTCTCATCCGCGACCCCTCTTTCTCCTCCAACGACCACGGCACCAACTCTGCTTTTGATGCCGTGCAGAAGAAGATCGCCGACCCTTTCGCTGTCTTGCCGCGCCGAGCCGATCAGGAGGCGGCTTTGATCGGAACCAGCGCTGCCAATCCTCTCGATATTCTCGTTGTTGGCGGTGGCGCCACAGGCAGCGGCGTCGCCCTGGATGCTTCCACCCGCGGTCTCCGAGTTGGCCTTGTTGAGCGTGAGGACTTCGCTTCTGGTACCTCCTCCAGGTCCACTAAACTAATTCATGGAGGTTAGCATCTCGATATGCGCATACAAGTACACCCAACACACACAATGTCACAACTATACAAGCGATATGTATGATGAAGCTGAAGGGAGAACAATGAGCAGCTGTGATTTGATTTATGAATGATTTGATGCTAGAACTGAGTTAGTTCTCGTTTATTTTGAAATGAATGAATCAGTTTTGGTGTCAGTGGAATTGGACATCTCTCATCATTACTACACTGTATCAATTAATTTTCTACAATTAGTTCTATAAATTATGTATTCTGTTTTAGCTCTATTTGCCGTTTCAGTGTGGTTTCTTGCTTGACCTTTTGGATCTATGATTTAGTATATGATTAGCATACCTCTTGGAATTCACAATGGCTACAAGTAACAAATCATTAGGGAAATACCCGCATGACTGGTTAATTCTTGAATTACATGTCCCCCTCAACATGTAGAAGTTAGGATTCTTGTAGTATTTCTTTAGGAATTAGGAGCATTAGTACTACACAATTGGGGTATCATTTTATATGGCTTCTTCAATACTATTAGGTTCAAAGATAATGGCCGGTGCTAAACTTGTTATATCTGTGCCAAAATTTGGAGGAATGGAGGGTATTATATGGGTGTCGGAAAATCTTACCTCTCTATATCACACTGAGAGTTCATTGATGATCTAATTAGACATTTAAGGTAGAACCAGATTAAATGTTTCATATATTGTTGTGATTTATTGATCTGTGGAAAATTATGCTTTTTCCCCTTGCAGACGTGCATCTCTATCAATTTGTTATATACTAATGATTAATTTACTACTTATACTTGAAATAACCCATTTTGGGGTTCCTTCAGGTTTTCTCCTAACACCCCTGGTTCTACCTTTTACTTTATGCTATGATGTTATCTCGAGTTTAAATATTTTGTCCAGGAGTTCGCTATTTGGAGAAAGCTGTTTTTAACTTGGACTATGGGCAGCTGAAGCTTGTCTTCCATGCCCTTGAGGAACGTAAACAGGTTATTGACAATGCACCACACCTCTGCCATGCTTTGCCTTGCATGACACCATGTTTTGATTGGTTTGAGACGATCTACTACTGGGCGGGTTTGAAAATGTATGATCTGGTCGCAGGACGACGCTTGCTGCACATGTCCAGATATTATTCAGCAAAAGAGTCTCTGGATTTGTTTCCCACACTTGCAAGAAATGTTAAAGATAGAACCTTAAAGGGAACAGTGGTATATTATGATGGACAGATGAATGACTCAAGGCTAAATGTTTCAATAGCACTGTCTGCTGCAATAGCTGGAGCTGCTGTTCTTAACCACGCTGAAGTAGTGTCCTTTCTCAAAGATCAGGATAGTGGGAGGATAATCGGTGCTCATATTCGGGACAATCTGTCAGGTGTGTTATGCTTCATGTTGTTACTATATCTTGATTCTCGAGTAAATATTTATTTTTCAATCCCTTTCATGGTTGTGTGCACAAGTTTCATTATAAGCATTAGTCTGTTGGTCCTTCCAAGCATATTTATATGGAAATCGTCCGTAGTTTTCCCAGAATTAGGAGTAGTTTCTCCTTAAATGTGCTAGGAAGGACCATTAGTGACGAAACAAAAGAAACTTGTCTATCCAAACTAAAACCAATTTGATGATCAAAAGAGTGAATAGGGACACCAAAATTGTGGGAATCAAAATCGATATTTACTCTTTTATCTTTTGGTCATAAAAAGCAAAACATTGAATTGTAGTTATATTTTTTCTCGTAATGTTTCATATTTTCATGACTTATTTAACCATATATGCACTTCTACTGAGCAGGGGTATAGTAGGGGAACCTTTTAATTGGCTAAGTGCCTAACAAAGAGTTCGCATGAGCAGGGATATAGTGGGGGAACAATTTTAATTAGCTAACGACAAGTTTGTGCGAAAATAGTCAAATACATGTGTGACTATTTAGGTGGGGTGGATGGAATTGTAGAAAGTCAAACTAAAAGGAAAGAAAATATCCAGGATAAATTCATGGGATATATACTGGTTTAACCTTAAAGATTACTCAGTTGATTTGTGATTTTAAATCACACGTGAATTAGTTATCCACAGATCATGGATTCAGATTCTCTTGGGTGCTTTTAATCTGTCAAAGTTTTTAAAATAAACTCATGTAGCTTAGTAGCTGGTTTAGCTCCCTTGGTAAAAGTTTTATGATCTTAAAAAATCTTAAACGCAGTTGCTTAGCTATATTGCACAGGCTGCATAACAATAAACTACTCTGTATTAGTTTCATGTACAAAGTTTGATTTTAGGTCACTTTAAATTGGCGCGAGTTGTTTATATACACAACTATTGTTCATGGATTGCTTTGTATGCGGCTCTGCCATGTAGAGGTGATAATATGGGTGTTGAAGAGGAAGGTTTTTTTTAGCTAAGCAACTTGTTAATAGGAACTCCCATTATTAAAAAAATGAGCAATTGTTTCTTAATGATATGTGGCATTATGAGACCCACCAAAGTTGAGTGAAGAAACCCAACTTCAAGAACACCATTGGATATGCTCTTAGAGTTGGACGTCTGGATTTCTACTTTCTGAAATGGAATAGCCATAGCCTCAGTACTCATCAACCAACTATTTTCCAGTATAGAGCTATTACCTTACACTGCCGAATTCAGCAACCAGTATGACACTTATTGGCTGTATGGCATAAGTTATTTAGGTAACCAAGAAAGAAAGACATTCTCTTGTTTGGCTTGAGAAGAAAGTTAAAGTAGAACTGAGAAAAAGCATTTGGCCTACTCGTAATCTTGTCTTTTATCTGGTGCGATGGGAGAAGTAAGGATGCCAACTTTTTATTTTTCATCTTCTCACTGTTAAGTTTTAACCTTATGCGTGCTGTTTTTTATTGAATGAAGGATGTGATAGTCATTTGATAAATATAATAATCTGTTTCATGAAAACCTTTCTTTCTCTACACTTTCCTTTCTATTTCTCTTATGCCAAACAATTCTAATAATTCACCCTATTTTCGCCTGCGTCTTCCCACTCTCTTTTTCAATTCTTTATCTCCCAATCCAAACAAACCATTATTGATTTGTAAAACAGTATTTTGCTATTTAGACTGTTATTTCCAGCTTATGTTTCTTCTGTGTTCTGTTTGAATCTCACTTTATGTCAGTGCACAGGAAAGGAATTTGACACATATGCAAAAGTAGTCGTGAATGCGGCTGGGCCATTCTGTGATTTTGTTAGAAAGCTAGCCAATACAAATGCAAAACCTATGATTTGTCCAAGCAGTGGTGTTCATATTGTGCTTCCTGATTACTACTCACCAGAGGAAATGGGTTTGATTGTGCCCAAAACAAAAGATGGTCGCGTTGTTTTTATGCTTCCTTGGTTGGGGAGAACAGTTGCTGGCACCACTGATTCAAACACCAGTATTACATTATTGCCTGAGCCTCACGAAGATGAGATTCAGTTCATATTAGACGCGATTTCTGATTATCTTAACGTTAAGGTATTCCAGAATTATGTTTTAACCTTTCTTTTTCCCGTTTTCCTCCACAAGTTTCGCAGAACTGCATGACATCAACAATCCTCTATTTCTTAATTATAATGTTTTCTTTTCTTCTAACTTATAATTACTTTCTCATTTATTCTAACCAACAAAACAGTACTGAACTCTTTCTGAATCCTGACCATTTGATTTTTTATGCCTCAAGAGAAGTTGTTTAAGAAACTATAAAATGCTGTCTCTTCTTGATTGAGTTGTTCTGTTATGTTTGTTTTGCCCTCTTTTCCCTTCCCTTCTCTTTGCTCTTTTTAACAGGCCAATTTCTTTTTGTTTTGATGCTATCCAAAGACAGTTAACCTTTGTTTAGTTTTTGGCAAGAAATAAACTAGTGAAATGATTGACAAACAGGGTGGGATTTTGTGTAGCAGTCTTTTAAAAAAATACAGCATATTTGGTTTTTATGTAGCACTTCTTTTCAAAAATTTAATCTTGACATTAGGTGCGCCGAACAGATGTTCTTTCTGCCTGGAGTGGTATTCGCCCTTTAGCTGTGGATCCTAATACCAAGGATACAGCGAGCATATCCAGAGATCATGTTGTCACTGAAGATTTCCCTGGTTTAGTTACCATCACTGGTGGAAAGTGGACAACATATAGAAGGTAAATGAGACTGAATAAGATCCTAATTTCACATAAGCATGGTTGACACATCGCTGTGATTTTTTAAATGACGGGAAACCCACAGCTGTTACGCTTTGAGTGTGCTCACTGGGCAAACCCTCAGGCTGATGCTACAGCTTGCAAACCACATGAGCGTGGTGTGGCTTATTACGCAAGCCTTGTGGATAGGCTCGACCTACTAGGTGTTAGCAGGGGAATTGAACTTGTAACTTCTCAGTCACTAGTTCACATACTCCACTAACTCGGCCACCTTTCGGTCACTATGATCTTGTGGCTATCTTAGGAGATACCCCCTCAAAGTTATATCTAAAAAATGTCTAGAATTTTTTTTTTATATTGAATGTTTTTTTTTTTTTGCTTTTTTAAAAGTGGGAACTATTTAAGTATGTTAATTTTAGTTAAACCATCATATAAGTGAAACATACAGCTAGAATTGATTATTTCCAATAGTTGCACCATACTGAAATTAAAAAGTTGTACTTTGGTGAAACATGACTTTTTTCATGATCAAGATAGCATTTTATTGGGTCCTTTAATGAGTTTTTTAACAACTCATTGCTTGGTTGATCCATTCCAGCATGGCAGAAGATGCAGTTGATGCTGCTATAAAGTCTGGAAAGTTAGGAGTAAGCACTAAATGCTTAACATACAATCTACAACTGATAGGTGCAGCTGGATGGGATCCTGCATCTTTTACGATCCTTGCCCAACAGTATGTGCGCTTAAAACAGTCACATGATGGGAAGGTTGTTCCGGGAGTGATGGACACATCTGCTGCCAAACATCTCTCTCATGCTTATGGTTCTCTTGCTGAAAGAGTGGCTGTCATAGCTCAGGTTTTATTCATTTCTGGACTTTTAATTTTTATTCAACTTAGGTTCTCCCATAGGTCGGGGCATGTGGAGGTCCGGAGGTGGTCTCTTGTTAAGACTGGCCAAAATGTAATACGTCAAAAGGTAATAGTAATGCTCCTCAAAAAACAGTTTTATGAGAAGTGTTACTCTCATACTCCCTCCATCCCCAAAAAAATCATGCTACGTCAAGGTACAACTGATTAGTTTTGGCAAGGTACAGTTCTTGCAAGTTACCTACCGTACTTTTCTTAGTTTCTTTTAAGTTTGTTTGTTATCCTAAATTCAAAGCTCGTATTTAGAACACTTCTGTTTTCGAAAATTAAATGAGTAAATGAGAATTAGCTACTTATGGTGCTGGCATGTATCTCTTGCGATAAAAACCAACTTTTTATGGGCACGGGGGGACCGATGGAGTATTTCATTTTAGCCCCGTCTTACACAAGCTTTGGTCTTCATTTTACCGGCTGCTATATGTGATGACTTTTTATACTCTTACAGTAATATTCTGTTCAATGTTTACGGGTGCTGCTCCCTCTGTTCCTTTTTCTCTACTTGTTTTACTTGACACAGTTTTTAAGAAAGTTGAAACTCTGGCCGAAATTTGTTTGGAGGAGACAAAATCTTTATCAACTACATCATCTTTTCCTTACAAGGAAAGAATTGATAATTTAGGGATGTTTAAAAAACGGAAATAAACATGAAAGAATGGCCTAAATATAACTCCTCAAGTTTAAGAAGATAAAAATATGACTACTTTTAAAATGGACAGAAAAATGACTCTCCCTTAACAGCTCCGTCCGTATCCCTGGCAACCTTCTCTATTCTCGCTTCTAACATCTCGCTTCAGTCTCCTCTCTAACCCTTCTTGCTTCCGTCCTCCTCCTTGAACCACCAATGCCCATGCTCTGCCGCGATTTAACATCATCAAGTGTAGCATCTAGGACCAGAGTCCGGATAGTGCCGGCGTCGCGGTTCGTCAGATTTGTGGGCCAATGACGACTTTTGTATCTTACAGCAGATCCGTTGCTCCTGGGTAGATCTGGGCGGTGACTGACTTCAATGGCGATGCGGCCGACTTCGGTGGTTGTAACAGATCTGGGCGATGGCGGTGGACGGGTTGAGATTAAGTTGAGTGGCGGGGGAAAGGTTTTACGGCAAGTCTGGTGCTGGTGGTGGGTTTCGACAGTGATGGCGTAGGGGTCCAGACTGGGCTAATGGGTGGTGGTGGTGACCAGCAGTCTGCGGCGGGTTGTTGTGGGGCTATGGGCTGGTGTTGGTGGGGCAAGGGGCGAGTTGCTTGAAGGCTTTGGGGGCAGGGGCAGTTGCTGTGGGCTGATGGGGTAGGTCTAGTGTGGGATGGTGGGCTTGCGGTGGGACTGGTTGGGCACTGGGGTGGCTGTGTTGTTGCAGAAGCAGAGGGATCGGATGGGGTGTGGGAGGTGGTTGTGGGCTAGGAAAGGGGCTGGGAGAGTCAAACCGGGGCTGGGACGTGGTTGGTGGTGGCGGTCTGCTATGATGGCCAGCGGCGGCCGTCCGCTGTGATGCTCGACGGTGGCACCAGGCGGGGTTAGCCAGGGACGGGGTTGAGGGGGCTATGAGGAGCAGGGGAGGGATGAGGCCCGGGACACCGAAGATGGCATGTCACTGTGACGGAAGACACCAGAGATGGTGTGTCACTGTGGCCGGAGTCGGTCACTGTGGCGGTGTCACTGTGATTGATGGGTGAGCAGGCAGTCACTATTGCGGTGTCAGTGGTGGTGGTTATGTCACTATGGTGGTGTCACTGGTAGCGGTGTCACTATGATATTGTCACTATAAAATTGTTTTAGTGATGTCACTACAGATTTCACTCTAGGAACCTTACTGTAGCAACGTTAATGTGGCAAAGTTACTGTAGCAACGTTTCTGTAGCGCCGTACTGTAGCACCGTACTGTAGCACCGTTAGTTTTACTCAGTTCTTTGGAAAATTAACTTAAAGGTCACTTTTTTTGCCAATCACCCACTTATTAATAATACTAGGGTCAAAACCCCAATAAACATTAAAAAGAGACATGAGGGACTATAATATCTACTTTTCTGTGTTTGTCTATTCTAAAGACATGAGGTCTCAGTGAATTATAGAGCAGTTCCATTTTTCGTTGACTTTGATTTCGTTACATTGCAGGATGAGAAGTTGGGTAAGCGGCTTGCGCATGGATACCCTTTCTTAGAAGCTGAGGTTGCATATTGTGCTCGCCACGAGTACTGCGAATCTGCAGTGGATTTCATTGCCAGACGGTGTCGTCTTGCATTCCTTGACACTGATGCTGCAAGCCGAGCTTTGCCACGCATAGTTGAGATATTGGCAGCAGAGCACAAGTGGGACAAATCTCGACAGAAACAAGAACTCGAAAAGGGGAAAGAGTTTCTTGAGACTTTCAAGTCATCCAAAAATGCGCAGTTCCATGACGGGAAACACACATAACCAAAGTGCGTATGTAATGATCTACTTACTAAGGAACCCAGCTGGGAACACTCTAATACGCATACAAAAATGTCTAGAAGAAGTCATGTGAGTCCCATTAAGCATAAGTGCATAACTCAATGGGATCCACATGGACTCCATGACTTTATTTTCATATTTGGTAATATGAGCGTATTGAAGTGTGTCTACTTGTTCCTTGGAATTTTTCAATAAATCATTACCTCCTTCCTACTTTATTGTGCCTCTAGACCTGTGGTCAAAGATTTTCAACTTTCACTAGCCTCCGTAACATATATTAATGAAATGTGATTTATAGTGTGAAAGTAATATAGAAAAGCTTTTCTGTTAAAAAAGTTCTCATAATAGTACATTTTTTATACTCAAAAAATGCTGTCTACATTGCATTTATTGACTTTGACGAACTATGTATTCTCATGCAGGTTGGGGACATGAGGCCGGCCTGAATTCGGGAGGCAGATGCAAATGAAGATTATGCACCCTTGTCCCTTTTATATGATTGTTTACTTACACGTGTATTTTTTATTTTTTATTCACTTTATATGTATAGTTCGTACATAATAGCATATTTAATTTTCTGAAATCAGAAAAGTAACTCAATAATTGATAATAAAGGGTAAAGCAACATATTGTACTGGCTAGTGGCTAACGAGAGTCCGGTCCATCATAAACTTGAGTGCTGATTCTGCTGAATGTGTGTATTTTATGATCCTTGTATTGATAAGTCCCGATAAAGTTTCCTAACAAAGCTACACAAATTGAAATGTTTTAGAGCCCGTTTGGTAACATTGAAATTGACTTAATATATTGAAATTCATGAAATCCTAGTTAAAGTGATTGAATTGTGGAAAAAGTATATTTAAAATATAGTTTATTGATAATATAAAGGAAAACTTATTACATAATATAGCGTGCGAAATTAAAAATTACGTGCTTAGTAAGAAGTTTAACTGATAAGGCTGATCTAGGGCAGAACTAGGGGGTGCGAGCACGTACTACTTGCGGAAATATAGTAAAATTATCACAATATTAGTGCAATATAACTAGTCACTTCTTTCTTGACATTGCAACTAAAGAACTATATAAGAATGCATGCAAATGAAAGATTAAATAAGTAAAGAAAAAATGAGAGAGGAATTTAAAAAAAAAAAATCAACCCAGTAAAAGCTTCCTAATAGACCTGCATAAAAACGTGTGCAGGCCGGGCTCGGGCCGAGCTTTTTATAAAAATTTTGCCCATCATATGTGGGCGGGCCTGGCCCGGCCCGCAAAATGGTCCTAACCCCATGTCCATACCCGCCCGTAAGAGCGGGCCGGGTAGTCTACCGGGCCGCCCGGCTCGGAAAAACTTTAAATTTTTCAAAATTATATAATTTTTTTTTAATACTTAAAAAATAATATAACAACATTTAAAAAATTGTTAATACTTCTTATAATGTTTATAAGTCTTTCACCACATACAAAAATAATACTTACACAAATATAATAATGAAAAACTACATCTAAAATTTAATTATTTAAAATTCAAGCACAAAGTATTATCTTTAAGTACAAAAATAGATACAGAGTACGGAGTACTATATTAGTTGAGCTAGTTATTAAGAACTAAAAACTTAAATTTAAACATAGTAAACTATAAATATGTATAAAGATAAATTAGTAAATATAGATATACATATGTACATGTAAATAAATAAATAAATAAATAAATAAATAAATAAATAAATAAATAAGTATATATATGTATGTATTTATACTAAATGTAGCGAGCCGGACTTATCGGCCCGAACGGGCCTACACCCTAACCCAAGCCCGCCCATATGTTATTGCGGGCCGGGTAAATATATATGCCCAAGCCCGCCCATTTGAGCGGGCTGGTTGGGTGGACCAACTCGGTTTTGTGCAGGTCTACATCCTAAGTAGCCTACCACGGTACCACCGTAAGTACAGCACTAGAACAGAATTATAACTGGGGCGGGAGCAAAGGCACTAAATAAAAATTACAAACTGATCTTGTTTTAGAGAGAAATGACCATACTTGGTATTTATTGGTTTACAGGACCGCTAAGCTGAGAAGGAGGCTACAATTGTTAAGTGGATTCCCCCAGAACCGGGATTCTTCAAGCTAAATTGTGATGGGTCTAGCCGAGGAAGGGGAAAGGAAGCCGGGGCAGGTGGACTGATACTCAACCACAAAGGTGAATGGGTGAGTGGCTTTATACTAAATATTGGAAAGACAGAAAGTTTTAAATCAGAGCTTTGGGCTCTAAGACAGGGTTTACTGTTAGCTTGTGATCTCGATATAAATAGAGTTATTGTGGAAGTTGATTCTGAAAGTATGCTAAAAGTTGTTAAGAATAAAAATAGTCTCAACAACAGAAGAAGGGTTTTGGTTCGGGACTGTCAAAAGCTTCTTGTAGATGAAAGATTTATAAAATTTCAACACACTTTTCGCGATGGAAATAATTGTGCAGATTCACTAGCTAATGCTGCTCACGAGTCAACAAAAGGTCTCTTAATACTCCATGAACCACCTGTCCGGATTAAGAGCTTACTCAGGAGGATGCTAATGATTTTTTCACTTCGGATGTAACAAAAAAACAGTCTTACTAGGAAGACTTGATTTTCTCAGGAAATACAAAAAATAAAAAACTTGTTAATAACTCTGTTAGGTCATAGTGTCATACAAAGAGAAGGCCTAATTGTTTTTATGAAATTTTATATAATACTTCTAGCCAGGGGTGGATTCAGGTCGGGCCACCCGGCCCGTGGACCAGCCCGGCCCGCTACTGTGCGGGACCAGGACCGGCCCGGTTCTCGGGTCCGGGTCGGGCCTAGGCTCGGGGGCGGGTCCGGGCTTGGGTCTTACATTTGGCGAACCGGCCCGGCCGGGTCAGGCCAAATTGTTTTTCTTTCATTTTTCGGGGTTCCACCCGGGTTGGGCTTGATGGTTAGGAGTGGTGAGGGGGGTTTGGGGGGTGGGGGGGTTAGGAAAGCCAAAAAAAATGGAGGCCCGGCCTGGCCCGGTCTGGACCCGGTGGCTACCCGGGCCGGTCCCGGGTCCACCAATTCTGAACCGCCGGCCAGCCCAGGCCTAGGCCCGACCCGAATACACCCCTACTTCTATGGCTGGACTCGGGCCGGTTCGGGCCCGGTTCGGGCCTGGGCCCGGCCGGGCCTCGGGCCAGAAAACTAGGGCCCGGGCCCGAACCGCCGGTGGGCGGTTCCGGTTCCGGTTCCGGGCCAAACCGGGCCGGGCCGGGCCGGGCCGAACCGGCCCACTTAATTTTTTTTTTTTTTTTTGGTCTCCTATTTAATCCCCTACCCCTCCCCCTCAACCCCAAACCATCCCAAACCACCTCAAATGGCCCAAAATACCTAATCCAACCTAAAACTTAAAAAAATTTCAAAAAAAAAAAAAAAAATTAAAATCCGGCCCGGACCGGGCCCGAACCGGCCGGGCCGGTTCACCAAAACCTGGGGCCGGGCCCGAACCGCCCAGCAGCCGGGCCGGGCCGAACCGAACCGGTGGACCCACCGGGCCCCGGGCCGGGCCGGGCCTAACAGTAACCGGGCCGGGCCGGTTCCGGGCCGGGCCGCCCGGCCCGAGTCCAGCACTACCTACTTCTAGTCCCTTTCTCTCGAAGAAAGTCTCTTTCTTGGGAGTAGCAGTGCAATTGCATCAAGTGCAAATTACATTACCAAAATTTAAATTTTGGTAGTAAAATTTTGCGAGCAAGCGTCACATATCAATGATTCAATGGTGTATTTGTTCAATCTAAAAACTAATAATGTCAATAAAAATATGTGTACAATGAATAGGTGCAAAGTTTAGTATTATTATTTCAATTCTCTATAAACAATATGGAGTATTAAAAACGGAAAAAATGAAAATTTGATGCTATATGGTTAACATGGAACTCCGACTCTTGAGTGCATCTGCCACAAGTATACAATATTCCTGTACAACGGATAAAACACTCTTCCTCAGTTCCTCCACAAAATTTGCACAATTGACAGACGAATTTTCCCTTTGGTTGGAATTTTATAGATGCAGTATCTCAGTTAGACGAGCCTCCGCATCAGCTGGAATATCTCTTCCTGGAACCTCTACCTTTAGAAGACGTGAATATCTGTAAAAGTTAAAAGCCGTTCAGATTTCTTTTTATGGAAGTAGGTAAAGTAGGTATATAAAAATGTGTGTATGTGTGGACTATGTGGGTACGTTAGAAATGATTTATGCATGTATGTATTCAACATTTAAACTCACTCTGTGGTTGTAAATAGGTCCCCGTGCTCATTTATGAATGCAAGTAGGGCCTATAAAAAAAGTTAAATTGTAACAATGAATTATAATTACAATTACAGACGGGCAATTAGAGTAAGAGTAGATTGAAGGATTTTAATCATCACCTCAAAGGGCATGTTTAGTAGTTCATAATATGTTCTGACACGATCTAATCTCAACTGCACGGCTTCACTGTCAATTGAGGGGATTGCTGCAAGCGCCTTTTATATTTTTTATAAACGCAAAAAAAAAAACTATTAGCCAAGAACTCAAAAAATAGGTTTTGGGTTTAAACTTTGAAATGCTAGAAATGTTTATTAGAGAAGAATAAGGGAGGGGGGTGGAAACCTGTTCGAGTGCAATTGAGTTGCGACATATCTGTTGAACTCCAAGCAGATTGATAGATTTTATATCGGTCAAAGCCTATTAAGCAACCCAGTAAAGCACTACTTGTCATTAGTAAAGAGGAAAATCAGGAGGTGAAACCCCCAAAACAAACAAGCAAGCAAATAAATAAATCACTGGTAAGGATGAATGTGTAAAATGAAGACCTTTATGGAAGCATTTGCTGCAACACTGCATATTCCACCAAAAATGTACTTCCTCTTCAATCCATTGATGAAAGGTGCCATTTCCTCGTCACGGCGTGTTATCTATCGTAAAAATATAGATATCATGCATTTCAGAAATGACATAATAGCACAGCAAAATGTGAACCTCTAGAAAAACAAGATAGAATGAGAATGAACAAGTAATATACTAGCAATCTGATAAAAGATTTAAAAAAGGGAACTGTATAATAATATAAACTCAATAAAACGAAATATATTCTTCCAAGGATAAGAACTTCACTAACCAGGGATGTTAATGAAATTACATAATCATCAGGTTCCTCTGCATCTTGGTCATCCAAATAGTCTTTACTTATCATTTCCTGTATACAGTATACTGTATACTAATAATAATAATAATAATAATAATAATAATAATAAATGGGATGAATATATATAGGGTAAAGTTCAAATAAAACCCTCGTAAAATGCACACAAATGCACCTTTATAGGGTAATGCACTTTGACATTCAAAGTAATGCATATTTCAATGACAAAAATACACAGGTGCACTTTATCCGTCTCTAATGCATATTCACGTGCAAGTAATATACTATGCGGTGACGGAAAATTTTGGTTAATTTACCAAAATGTTACCGCGTTCTTTAGCCTTTAGATCTTGAATCCGATGCTCCTTATTCATTTTCATTTTGCATGAAAGACAACTTATTTGAACCAATATGTGTGTGTGTGTGTGTGCGAGTAATGTATGTGTGTGTGCGAGTAATGTATGTATGTATGTATGTATGTATGTATGTATGTATGTATGCATGCATGCACAAACATAGGCAAAATGAGTAACACAAAGTGCCAAAACCTGCATGTGAAATATAGTCTCCAGCTGC